CCCACGGCTTGGCTTCAACCAATATAAAGTATTTCTGCAGAGAACCATGTGAAGACAAAGATGTTTTAGTGAAATCTGACCAGTCACCTAGAGGAAGATACACACTGAAGGATCATGGAGCTGGAACCTTCACTGTGAGCATCACTGATCTACAGGAGTCAGACTCTGGGATTTACTGGTGTGCAGTGGACAGATCTGTTAAAGACACATATAAGGAAGTCAAACTGACAGTATCTAAAGGTAAGAATGATGCACAGGATTTGGTGTAGATTTAAGGAAGTGTAAAATACTCATCTACATGTTAATAATAACTATTATAGCCTTGGACACAAACAGACCCACAACTCCTAAACCAGCAGCAAGTTCTCAATCCTCCATGACACAAAGTTCATTCTCCACATCTTCAGCATCTGCTGACACCACAACCTCATCTTCAACAGGTACTGAACTAATCAGAATATTATTGTATTTATCTATGTATCAAATTATGGGATGATGTTGTCTCTCTTGTACATTTAAAGGATTTAAAGGTCCTGTTGTTTCATCCAAACCAGCATCTAATGAGAGCGGTGCACAATATTCACTCTCCTCAGGTATTCAGTTCATGATTATTTCTCTGTTCACCACAAAACAAAATTAACAAACACCAGCTGCCATGTCTTTGCGTGTAAACATACATTTTTTTTTTTTAAACCAGTGTCAAGCAAAATCATGACAGACCTGTGAGGTCCGCATTAACTTTTTTTTCTACACTGCATTCATTAAGGATGCTATCACTCTGTTTATTTAAGGAACTATTGAGATATTACTGCAACGTCAATGTGAGTGTTTCGGCAATCGCATGACTAATATCATAGAAAGTCTGTCACGTTTCCCCGTCTCTGCATTTTTAGGTCCTCTGATGATCACAGCCATCGGTCTGACTGTGATGGTGATTATATTTGGAGCGGTTCTCTGTTTATGGAATAAGCAAAGGAAAAACTCACCAAGTTCCAATGGTAAGGGCAAATAGTATATTTAAAAAAAAATGCAATACAGTACATCTAATAAAGTGTTTCCCTATTTCCAATTTAAGTTGATGCTGAAATCCAAGGCACCACACATTCAACAGAGGTAAGAAACACAGAACACTTCTTACATATTTTAAAAGTATATGAATTTACAATAGTGGGGGGTTTTTTGGCTTATTTGATTCTTTCAAAAGTGTACAGTGATAAAAAAAAAAAAGTTCACATCTTAAATTATACTGCGTTTCATTCAAAAACTGATGTGGGACATCTCCAAACTCTGAAGGTCGACTGTAGATGATATACAACATAAAAGTGGGGTCATATTTACTGCTGCTGCTCTGCGGAATTTCATAGGCGAAATACAATCATTTCAATAGGAATTTGTGAGATCAGGAGTTTTGCTTAGGGCGGGAAAGTTCCCCACACAGATTTCGCTCATGTTCAAGGTGAAATCGCCACACTGACCAACAAAACGCTGCTTGGTTTGAAAGTGACTTTTGTGAGCAGTGCTTCATACAGCACTGTGTTATTGACAATGGACCTTTTCTGCCATGTGAAATTTCACCAAAATATCGCTAATATGACCATATATAACTTGAGAACACAAAATGCCAACACTTTGTACTTTACTGTCAACAAAGTCTTCTAGCTAACATATAGTTAACAAAAAGTGAATTTATTAATTCATTGTCCCAGTACAGTTGTAATTTTGTAATACAAATGTAATTAGTTCCTTTATTCATTTTATAATATTTTATTACTGAATCCACAGACTGCAGGTGATTATGAGGCGATCACGGAGACCCAACAGCGGACTGAAGCACACACAGGCATCACCATTTATTCTACTGTCAATAAAAGTACAGAAGCCAATCAGATCCAAGATCCTCCACTATACTCCACCCTCTCCGTGTGACTGGAGCCCAGCTGCACCAAATGAGCTCCAAAACCCAATGCTGATATATCAGCTACATATGCAGCATTAGGATACATGCTAAAGGTTGTGGACATTTATTGGGTTAGAAGACCTGGGTGTCTGACCTGAATCTATGCATTTATGCATCAAGACACCTGAACCTGACTTGCTTCAGTCAATGTTGTGGACTGTGTGTTTAGTGTAAGTAGTTAAGGTCTCTTGAATGTTGTTTTGTCCGAGTGTAAATAAATACATTCTGGTTTGTCAGATTGTTTAATGTGTCAGGCTCTTATTACAGCAGTAAGTCTTTTACTTAGAATGTACTCATTGCATGAGTACTGATCTCAGATCTGTGTGAAGTGGTTAGCAAGCAAGCATACAGATTAAGTGCTAAAGAGGAAGTCATCACTAAACTAAAGATGGGTGGGATTAGTTTGATGCCACTATTGTACACGTTTAGCAACTCCAACTTCCTTTGTTAAAACAAGTCTTGCATTTTTAACAAAAAGTATTTGACCAATAACGAATACAGAATCAGCTGAACTTCAAAGTATTAAATGGACTGGAGACTCGAAAGAGTATTGATGAAAATGAAGACCTTCCATGTTCTGTGGATCTGGATCTTTCTGTCAGGTCAGTTTTTGTTAAAAGCTTTGACTTGTTTTTACAGAGTGATCAAACCAGTACACTTACATGCACAGTTCTAGGTTTAAAGGGGTCACATGATGCGATTTCAATTTTTCCTTTCTCTTTGGAGTGTTACAAGCTCTTGGTGCATAAAGAAGATCTGTAAAGTTGCAAAGACTAAAGTCTCAAATCCAAAGAGATATTCTTTATAAAAGTTAAGTGTAGAGTAGCGCTTGTTGTTTGTCATTTCTCTGATCACAAATGCAGACATGGTTTTATGTTTGCGCGACACGGCGCGATACGCAACGCAATGCATGAAAAGACAGTATAAGTCATTATAATCCGTAATTATGTCCCCACTGGATGCAACGAATGCCTCGTTTATAATGGGTTTGAATGTTTTTGTCTCGTCGCTCCGGCCGGACAGGGCATCATCACAATGTGGTAAGGGGCGTAACATTTCCGTCACACGCTTGAGGTATTCGGCCAATCACAACGCACTGGATAGCTGGCCAATCACAGCACACCTCGCTTTTCAGACCAATGAGCTTTGTAAAAATCGACATGTTTCAGAAAGGCGGGGCATAGAGGAGAAACAATAGTGTACAGTGTGTGGAAAATAATGTGTTTTTTTAACCTTAAACCGCATAAACACATTGCATTACACCAAATACACAACATAATGTTCTTTATAGCAACATCATATGACCCCTTTAAACACTATTTGCAAATCACCTTTGTCTTTTGACATTTACATGACATTTTAAAAGATAGATTATTTCTTTAGTTCAACTGAAACTTTTAAAGTGCATGTAGAAGATCTTGTGTTGTTATATCTATATGAATGCTCAACTTAAAATACTGATCTGCTAGCAGCTTTTCGGCACAAATTCTGAACTTTATCACTAATATCAACCACAAAACTGATCTTTGTGTACAAGGGAAATGGCTATACATGCAACGAGTGTAGAAAAAGAGGAAGTGGCCATTAGATGCTTATAATGTTGTTGAGTGGTCAAAGAGTCTCTAATGTGCCCAGGATTCAAATAAAAAAATTAAAAAATAATAAATAAAAACATTAGTATGTGCTTGGCTTCATTTGTTGGATTTAAATCATTTTTACAATTCACCCTTAAGCTAGAGTATTTTTCTCAACTCAGTGCAAGTAAATCATTGTGTACAACTGAGGTGAAATATGGCACACATTGAAAAGCTCCACTACAAGAAGAGGGTTTTTAAGAATTACTCATTTTTAAATAAATGACAATAACAGAGGTCAGAAGTAACATTACCTAGAAACTGTATTGCCCCATATCTCATTTGTCTGCGAAGAGACCAGGAAGTCACATGGTAACATGGCGCAGCTGGTCACATCAATATTTTATAGATTTCACTGCATACATTTTGAATGAACGCAAACTTTCAGTTGCTTGCATATAAAAACACTGATAGACATTTCTCTGCTTAATAAAGGCACTATGTATGCTGTCCTCACTGTCTGTGCAAAACTAGAATTTATGAGTATGCAAAATAAACTACTGTACCAAAAAACAAGAAATGCGACAGCGTGACATGTGGACTAAATTGATTATGCAGATTATAAAAATAAGTTGATTTGCGTGCATTGCGTTGACGTATATCACTGTTTACATTAATCCTTAATCCTCTGACATGTTTCACACAAAAACAAGACTCACTAGAACATATGCTAATGGCTTGTATGCAGATGAGTTTTGTTTTTACGAGTGTGACCACTGCATTCTATAAACCTCCACAAGTGCACATTTTCAAGACTTGCATCAAAGACTATAGAATACCCAAGACATGTCACTCATATCCACCTTATTTTTCACCGTGGAAGTAAGCCGTTTTCTATCAATGTGCAAGACATCCGGTTCATTAGCCGCTGTAGGGAAATAACAAGAAGAATAACAAAGTGAAGTAAACGGTAAAATGGTTGCACTACAAACCAGTGTGTTGACAATTAAGATAATACATTAAAATAATACGGCAAACACACCAGTTTGAAATATCAAGCCGCAAAACGAGCTGTTTTTTACAGCTAAAAATACCTGGAAGCAGATGACACCGGAAGCCAGACACATAAAATTTACAAATGGACACACCCACTCTTACGGGAAAAATAAAGGTGGATACTTGTGAATGGGGAAAAACGAAAAACACATAATATGGCCGCTCTATCACAGGAAGCCTGTTGTCGGATTTATTAGGTGATTTCAAATGAAAATTTAACCGTATAAGCTTGGCAAACAGTTTTGGAGAATTTGATGTTTCATCATTCAAAGAGATATGAGCTGCACTTGCATGCCTGATAAGTGTTTCAACAATGTATTTTTTTATTGCATGAGAACATGATGAGTATTGTGAGAGCGGACATAGCAACAGTAACTAAGGAGGGTGGGTTTTTGCGAAGGGTCAGTTACATTGAGTCTAATGGTGCTTTTCCACTGCATGGTAGGGCAAGGTACTGTTCAGTACGGTTCACTTTTGGGGGGTTTTCCACTTGGTACAGTACCTGGTATGATGAGTATTGTGAGAGCGGACATAGCAACAGTAACTAAGGAGGGTGGGTTTTTGCGAAGGGTCAGTTACATTGAGTCTAATGGTGCTTTTCCACTGCATGGTAGGGCAAGGTACTGTTCAGTACGGTTCACTTTTGGGGGGTTTTCCACTTGGTACAGTACCTGGTACTTTTTTCAGTACCACCTCAGTTGAGGTTTCAAGTGAACCGTACCATTACCAAAACGTGACGTGTAAACTCTGCTGATCACTGATTGGCCAAAAAGAATTGTCACAACCTGCGTCATTGAACTTGCGACATGAGACACAACACATCCGCTAGATTTAAATCAGCACAGCCAGCGAAGGATCAAACACAACTGTTTTGAACAAGCACACCGTTTTTTAACCACCAAAAAATGGCTGTTTCATGGTCTGTTGTGAAAGTACAGACGTTCCTCTCGTTGATAGCAGAGGAGCGGATCCAGCGAGAGCTTGATGGAGCGACGCGGAAGTAGCGGACGTAGTGGAAAAGCACCATAAGTAGAAGCCCTGCCCCACCACATTATTTGCTAATGGGGAGAGCCATTTTGGTTTCTCCGTGAGATTAAAGAGATGAGCAGCAGCATAATTCTGAGCAAGAAAATAAAAAGGATAAAATACTTGTGACCAGGGACCACAAAATCAATCATAATTGTCAATTTTTTTAATCAAGCTTTCCATTGATGCATGGTTTGCTAGGATAGGACAATATTTTGCCGAGATATTACTATTTGAAAATCTGGAATCTGAGGGTGCAAAAAAAATCTAAATATTGAGAAAATCGCCTTTAAAGCTGTCCAAATGAAGTTCTTAGCAGTGCATATTACTAATCAAAAATTAAGTTTTTATATATTTATGGTAGGAAATTTACTAAATATCTTCATGGAACATGATCTTTACTTAATATCCTAATGATTTTTGGAATAAAAGAAAAATCGATAATTTTGATTCATACACAGTGTATTGATGGCTTTTGCTGCAAATGTGCGACTTAAGTTTTGTGGTCCAGGGTCACATATGTGTTATTTTACATACATAATTGTCTATATTATATATTGTGTTTTTGCTTTTTTGTACATTGCCTATTTTGTATATTTTTATATTATTCTTTGTATCATCTGTGTCCTGTCTTGTCACTGTCATTCTGTTGCACTGTGGAGCTTCTTTCACTAAAACAAATTCCTCGTACGTGTAAACATACCTGGCTATAAAGCTCATTCTGATTCTGATTTCTTTGGATTTTGGTCAGTACACGATTTGCAATGTGTAGAAATGGCTGTATATGCAATTAGATGTGTGCTGATGTATTTGAGTAAGAGAAAATGCAAACGTTGTTTTATGACAAGTTAAAAGATGTCTGTTGGTTGATCAATTACATGTTTATGAGTTTGAAATGTTCATATTGTGCGATAACGACGATGGGTAACTTGTTTAATTAGCGTAATGTCACCTGAGTGTCCAATTACAGTGGAAATGTCACTGTTTACAGGCTGACAAATGCTATTTGTTCAGTTATTGAACTAGAAAGGGTGAATCTGATTATGTTTGTGAACTTATTATTGACTGTATATATGCAAGTCAGGGTTTTTTCCCATGCTGGAACACCGTTCATTTCAATTAGATGATGATGCAAGATGGCGAGCCAACCCACTCGAGACGAATGCTGACTGAGGTGAAACAGTCCCAAATATGGCCTAAATGGCACACTTCATGTGCACTTTCAGTCTTGAGGACTCAAGTGTGACTTAAAAATCGTCATCCGAGGGTGTACGCAAGGCTCTTTGCAGACATCCGCGTGCCTCCCATTTTTTGTGATCGCGCGTCAGTAGGCTACAAAAGCACCAACTGCACATGCACTGGAAAAACACACCACTTTCTTGCCTTTTCTTCTTTTTCTGTGAATTAGCTTAGTACAGCAGACAAAGCAGCACTTCCTCCTGCATGGACATCCGCATGTTTGTTTACTGTTCAGGCCGATGTGTGGAATATGTTCGCCACGCGAACCACCACAGCATACACTTTCAGCAGTGTAAATACAAGTAGTCCGCATCAGTGCTGTCCGCAGCTGTTCATGTATGCGTCCGAACTGAAGTATAACAGAGGCTTTACAATGGCTGCTGCGTGCACGTCTGTTAAGTCCACGAGACCATAGGGCTCTTTGGTCATTTTTGAGCGAGATGCTAACGGTCTAATCAGATTCAATGATCTATGCTAAGCTACAGCTAAAAGTGCTACCACCAGACCCGGAGATCAGCTGAATGGATTCGAAAACGGTAAAACTCAACTGTTTAACTCTAGGGGAGTTGGAAAATGAGCCTATTTTCAAAAATAGTGGAGTGTTCCTTTAACAAACGTTGGTTTTCACGAGACTCACCGGCACATGCGCAAAGCCGACCTCATACGTCATCCGCCCGGAGCTGCTTCCATGTACAACTGTTGGCGCAAGCTACATTAAAGTGATTATTACTTCTATTATTATTATTATTATTTTGAATATGGATATTTTTCTTACAAAAACACATCGATTCGCTACAGGAGGCCTTTGTTCATACAGGAGGCCTTTTGAGGATATTTGTGTAAATATCATGTTGAAATATTAGTGGCAGAAGTGATGGTCATTGTTTATTGGTAGGTTAACTAAGGTTATTGGTAAGGATTTTAAGTCTAATAGGAAAATAATAGGCCTAAATAGATTCAATGTAAAAAAAATAATTGATTAATCTAAAAAATAATCGATAGACTGAACAATCATCAAAGTAATCATTTGTTACAGCCCTAGACAGTAGCAACTATAATACTGACAGAAAACTACCCCGACAGATTGTGTCAGATAACTTGCTATCAGTTGGTTCATGGCACATACTTGTGTATTATATACATTTTTATTGCATTGAACAGGAATTTCGGTTACAGATGGAGCTGATATACATGGATACAGTGGAAAAGGTGTCACAATTACATGTTCCCACGGCTTGGCTTCAACCAATATAAAGTATTTCTGCAGAGAACCATGTGAAGACAGAGATGTTTTAGTGAAATCTGACCAGTCACCTAGAGGAAGATACACACTGAAGGATCATGGAGCTGGAACCTTCACTGTGAGCATCACTGATCTACAGGAGTCAGACTCTGGGATTTACTGGTGTGCAGTGAACAGATCTGTTAAAGACACATATAAGGAAGTCAAACTGACAGTATCTAAAGGTAAGAATGATGCACAGGATTTGGTGTAGATTTAAGGAAGTGTAAAATACTCATCTACATGTTAATAATAACTATTATAGCCTTGGACACAAACAGACCCACAACTCCTAAACCAGCAGCAAGTTCTCAATCCTCCATGACACAAAGTTCATTCTCCACATCTTCAGCATCTGCTGACACCACAACCTCATCTTCAACAGGTACTGAACTAATCAGAATATTATTGTATTTATCTATGTATCAAATTATGGGATGATGTTGTCTCTCTTGTACATTTAAAGGATTTAAAGGTCCTGTTGTTTCATCCAAACCAGCATCTAATGAGAGCGGTGCACAATATTCACTCTCCTCAGGTAAGGATTATTAATCCACACACTATAAAATGAAATGAACTTACATTAGTTGCCACATCTTTGCATGTAATGTGAGATCTGCCAGAAACATTTCATGATCAAGCCACCTTCCTTGAAGTGCAAGCCCCCATAACTTAGTTTCTACACCAGGTTCACCCTGGTGAGATATTACCGCAATGTCAGTGTGACTATTTCATCAATCACATGACTAACATCACAGTCTGTCACGTTTCCCCTGTCTATGTATGTTTTAGTTCCTCTGATGATCACAGCCATTGGTCTGACTGTGATGGTGATTATATTTGGAGCGGTTCTCTGTTTAAGTACCACCTCAGTTGAGGTTTCAAGTGAACCGTACCATTACCAAAACGTGACGTGTAAACTCTGCTGATCACTGATTGGCCAAAAAGAATTGTCACAACCTGCGTCATTGAACTTGCGACATGAGACACAACACATCCGCTAGATTTAAATCAGCACAGTACCACCTCAGTTGAGGTTTCAAGTGAACCGTACCATTACCAAAACGTGACGTGTAAACTCTGCTGATCACTGATTGGCCAAAAAGAATTGTCACAACCTGCGTCATTGAACTTGCGACATGAGACACAACACATCCGCTAGATTTAAATCAGCACAGCCAGCGAAGGATCAAACACAACTGTTTTGAACAAGCACACCGTTTTTTAACCACCAAAAAATGGCTGTTTCATGGTCTGTTGTGAAAGTACAGACGTTCCTCTCGTTGATAGCAGAGGAGCGGATCCAGCGAGAGCTTGATGGAGCGACGCGGAAGTAGCGGACGTAGTGGAAAAGCACCATAAGTAGAAGCCCTGCCCCACCACATTATTTGCTAATGGGGAGAGCCATTTTGGTTTCTCCGTGAGATTAAAGAGATGAGCAGCAGCATAATTCTGAGCAAGAAAATAAAAAGGATAAAATACTTGTGACCAGGGACCACAAAATCAATCATAATTGTCAATTTTTTTAATCAAGCTTTCCATTGATGCATGGTTTGCTAGGATAGGACAATATTTTGCCGAGATATTACTATTTGAAAATCTGGAATCTGAGGGTGCAAAAAAAATCTAAATATTGAGAAAATCGCCTTTAAAGCTGTCCAAATGAAGTTCTTAGCAGTGCATATTACTAATCAAAAATTAAGTTTTTATATATTTATGGTAGGAAATTTACTAAATATCTTCATGGAACATGATCTTTACTTAATATCCTAATGATTTTTGGAATAAAAGAAAAATCGATAATTTTGATTCATACACAGTGTATTGATGGCTTTTGCTGCAAATGTGCGACTTAAGTTTTGTGGTCCAGGGTCACATATGTGTTATTTTACATACATAATTGTCTATATTATATATTGTGTTTTTGCTTTTTTGTACATTGCCTATTTTGTATATTTTTATATTATTCTTTGTATCATCTGTGTCCTGTCTTGTCACTGTCATTCTGTTGCACTGTGGAGCTTCTTTCACTAAAACAAATTCCTCGTACGTGTAAACATACCTGGCTATAAAGCTCATTCTGATTCTGATTTCTTTGGATTTTGGTCAGTACACGATTTGCAATGTGTAGAAATGGCTGTATATGCAATTAGATGTGTGCTGATGTATTTGAGTAAGAGAAAATGCAAACGTTGTTTTATGACAAGTTAAAAGATGTCTGTTGGTTGATCAATTACATGTTTATGAGTTTGAAATGTTCATATTGTGCGATAACGACGATGGGTAACTTGTTTAATTAGCGTAATGTCACCTGAGTGTCCAATTACAGTGGAAATGTCACTGTTTACAGGCTGACAAATGCTATTTGTTCAGTTATTGAACTAGAAAGGGTGAATCTGATTATGTTTGTGAACTTATTATTGACTGTATATATGCAAGTCAGGGTTTTTTCCCATGCTGGAACACCGTTCATTTCAATTAGATGATGATGCAAGATGGCGAGCCAACCCACTCGAGACGAATGCTGACTGAGGTGAAACAGTCCCAAATATGGCCTAAATGGCACACTTCATGTGCACTTTCAGTCTTGAGGACTCAAGTGTGACTTAAAAATCGTCATCCGAGGGTGTACGCAAGGCTCTTTGCAGACATCCGCGTGCCTCCCATTTTTTGTGATCGCGCGTCAGTAGGCTACAAAAGCACCAACTGCACATGCACTGGAAAAACACACCACTTTCTTGCCTTTTCTTCTTTTTCTGTGAATTAGCTTAGTACAGCAGACAAAGCAGCACTTCCTCCTGCATGGACATCCGCATGTTTGTTTACTGTTCAGGCCGATGTGTGGAATATGTTCGCCACGCGAACCACCACAGCATACACTTTCAGCAGTGTAAATACAAGTAGTCCGCATCAGTGCTGTCCGCAGCTGTTCATGTATGCGTCCGAACTGAAGTATAACAGAGGCTTTACAATGGCTGCTGCGTGCACGTCTGTTAAGTCCACGAGACCATAGGGCTCTTTGGTCATTTTTGAGCGAGATGCTAACGGTCTAATCAGATTCAATGATCTATGCTAAGCTACAGCTAAAAGTGCTACCACCAGACCCGGAGATCAGCTGAATGGATTCGAAAACGGTAAAACTCAACTGTTTAACTCTAGGGGAGTTGGAAAATGAGCCTATTTTCAAAAATAGTGGAGTGTTCCTTTAACAAACGTTGGTTTTCACGAGACTCACCGGCACATGCGCAAAGCCGACCTCATACGTCATCCGCCCGGAGCTGCTTCCATGTACAACTGTTGGCGCAAGCTACATTAAAGTGATTATTACTTCTATTATTATTATTATTATTTTGAATATGGATATTTTTCTTACAAAAACACATCGATTCGCTACAGGAGGCCTTTGTTCATACAGGAGGCCTTTTGAGGATATTTGTGTAAATATCATGTTGAAATATTAGTGGCAGAAGTGATGGTCATTGTTTATTGGTAGGTTAACTAAGGTTATTGGTAAGGATTTTAAGTCTAATAGGAAAATAATAGGCCTAAATAGATTCAATGTAAAAAAAATAATTGATTAATCTAAAAAATAATCGATAGACTGAACAATCATCAAAGTAATCATTTGTTACAGCCCTAGACAGTAGCAACTATAATACTGACAGAAAACTACCCCGACAGATTGTGTCAGATAACTTGCTATCAGTTGGTTCATGGCACATACTTGTGTATTATATACATTTTTATTGCATTGAACAGGAATTTCGGTTACAGATGGAGCTGATATACATGGATACAGTGGAAAAGGTGTCACAATTACATGTTCCCACGGCTTGGCTTCAACCAATATAAAGTATTTCTGCAGAGAACCATGTGAAGACAGAGATGTTTTAGTGAAATCTGACCAGTCACCTAGAGGAAGATACACACTGAAGGATCATGGAGCTGGAACCTTCACTGTGAGCATCACTGATCTACAGGAGTCAGACTCTGGGATTTACTGGTGTGCAGTGAACAGATCTGTTAAAGACACATATAAGGAAGTCAAACTGACAGTATCTAAAGGTAAGAATGATGCACAGGATTTGGTGTAGATTTAAGGAAGTGTAAAATACTCATCTACATGTTAATAATAACTATTATAGCCTTGGACACAAACAGACCCACAACTCCTAAACCAGCAGCAAGTTCTCAATCCTCCATGACACAAAGTTCATTCTCCACATCTTCAGCATCTGCTGACACCACAACCTCATTTTCAACAGGTACTGAACTAATCAGAATATTATTGTATTTATCTATGTATCAAATTATGGGATGATGTTGTCTCTCTTGTACATTTAAAGGATTTAAAGGTCCTGTTGTTTCATCCAAACCAGCATCTAATGAGAGCGGTGCACAATATTCACTCTCCTCAGGTAAGGATTATTAATCCACACACTATAAAATGAAATGAACTTACATTAGTTGCCACATCTTTGCATGTAATGTGAGATCTGCCAGAAACATTTCATGATCAAGCCACCTTCCTTGAAGTGCAAGCCCCCATAACTTAGTTTCTACACCAGGTTCACCCTGGTGAGATATTACCGCAATGTCAGTGTGACTATTTCATCAATCACATGACTAACATCACAGTCTGTCACGTTTCCCCTGTCTATGTATGTTTTAGTTCCTCTGATGATCACAGCCATTGGTCTGACTGTGATGGTGATTATATTTGGAGCAGTGGGTTGGAGAAAGTCACACAGCTCCGATCGTAAGCACAAATGCATGGCACTTTTTCATTATCAAGTTGATGCTGAAATCCAAGACACCGCTTATACTACAGAGGTGAGAGACAAAAATCTAAATACTTATTATAATATTTCAAAGTATGCGTATTTACAATAGTTTTGTAATAAGGCATTCAATTGCACAAACCTCAGAAGTTGACAAAACATGGTAGAGCTGTTAGCTTTCTATTTGTTCATTGTCAAGTCTTCTAGCTGTCAAATATCAGTAAATGATTCTATGTTATGCTGTATGTATGTTTAGCAATAACTGTGTACATCTCCTTTGATATTGTCCTCTAGTGGACCATTTGTGTAGTACGTTATTTATGGACATAAATGCAGTTACATAGTGAATTGACTTGTGATTATATCTAAAATACAGAAAAGTATTATTTTTTTTCTCTGAACACTGCCGGTGATTACAAGAAGCTCACAGAGACCCATCTGCAGATTAATACACACACAATCCCCAGCACTTGTACAACAGTCATTTACATATGCAGCCATTAGCATGCATGCTTGCTCAAGGTTGTGGACCAAGTACAAGGTCAGAAGACACAGTAACCTATAACACTGTGCATTTTACAAAAAAAATACTCTACATGCTTCAAAAAAAAATTGTGGACTACAAACTGCATGTTTGGTGTAAGCAAAGATCTCATAACTGAATGTGTTTTTTTATTGTGTAAATAAATATATTTGTGGGCTGTCCGACTTTTAATGCCTCATTGCCTTATTTGAGCAGCAAGGTTTTTATTTAGTAGTGTTGGGTCGTTCTTGAACGATTCGTTCATTTTGAACAAATCTTTAATGTGACTCGGGAAGAACTAATTGCACCAAAATTACCCCACTGTAAAATTAAAAAAACACTGAGTGAGCAAAAATGTGTGAGATAGCTAGTTATAATGGTAATTAAATAATGTTTACATATGTATAAAAGCCTACATTAAAATCTGTCGTATAAATTGGTCTCTTCATTAGAAATTAGCCTACTGATTGCCACCATTGATGGACAATTTTTTAATAATATTAAAAATATCTGTATGACATTATATTCTGTAGTTCTTCCCTGTTGTACCGAATATCTATACTTTTCAAATTATCAAATCGAAGTTAGAAATTCAAATATTGTGACAATTTATTTTGTAGGGTGCC